CATTGTTAAATTTGATGCTGCCAATCCTGAAGTTCTATGTGATGCAAGAAAATTACGCATGTTTTCCCGGCTTGCTCTACGATCATTACGTGCCACGATCTCAGCTAGTCTATTCCTCTGGTACCAAGGTACAATAATTCTTTTGCAAAGATGGAAAAACATCCATACCAAAATACTTGCAACTATCAGCACAACTGACCATATAATTCGTTGTGATTGGACCATTTTTTATCAAGGTGGTTTCCTTTCTAGCATCATTATAATGATCAAATCTGCAGCCAATATCAAGAATTTTTTTACTGCAAAAGAGAATTATCAGAATTCCATAAACACAATTGTCTTCAATTTTACTTATTATTGTCATTGATTCAATTTTTAAATGTTATTGTCATTAATCGTTGATAGTAACAAGGCAAATATGAATCTTTATATGGTATTTATTTATGCTAAATATAAATCTTTAAAGACAAATGGCATATAAAATCATAAACCATATTTAATAATAAGATCTAAAACAATTATAGTTAAAAATACATTAGAGAGCTTTGCTTCTTTGTTCAACGTTAAATTTAATTAATATTTTAAAAGCTTTAAGATTTGTACAAAATCTGCAATGAGGGGATGGGCCTTGAACTTCAAATAAGGGGGCATTAATCTAAGAAATAAGTGATTATTAATTATCATAAATATACCTTGCTTGAAAGAACACCGGCCTTTGCCACAGGGGAGCCAGGGGGCATGCCCCCATTTTTTTCGCTAAATAAAAGACTAAAATCAGCTTAATATATTTATAAAGATAAACCTTTAGATTACAACAAAACATTGAACCAAAGTCCACACGTGAAAAAAAATGATTGCCGCAACTAGGAGAGGGGGAAGAGACAATTTTCTTTACATAGCTGATCCCTCCAGTGACCCCCGTTTGGGACTGTTACTGATCAATATACTTCTATTAACAGTAACAATGCTGCTGAAATATATGAAGCTTGTTTTGAAGTAAATTCCGAACCAGTAGAACGACCAATAGGTAAGGTCAATTTTGTAACCTTCGACTTTTGACACACTTTTATCTTGCAATTGAAAAAATTACACAGTAAATGGAAAAATTCACGCCACCATTTTTAAAATCAAAGGCGTGAAAGATATGTTATGTTCTCGTATTTGAGCTGAAAAGTGACAATAAAAACAAACCTTTAACTGGGCCTAAAGCAGCCCCAAAGAAGGAGCAACGTTGGTAACGTTTCCCCCAGTATAAGGCGCCCCAGTATACGGTCCAGCCCCAGTATAGGGATTGTCAATCAAGATTATGTTCTTAAGTGCCGCCAAAGCCGTTTCGGTTCGTTATCGTCGCGATGATAGATAGAAGTTATTTCAAGTCACAGCGGCTTCTCGGCCAGTAGACATTCAGCCATACACTTTCAGCAAGCGGCCATGTTGTAACAGCCGTACTTGAAAGACATTCGCGTAGCTCACCTTTAAAATATTATACCTTTAAAACTCATACAAAATATAAGTTTAGTTGTTTAAGTTTCGTTTTATTTTGCTCGTACCAAGTTTTGGTGCGACTATCGAGCCGAGTAACGTGGGAGCCTTTAGCAAGAATATAGGGCTCGCTCGTTCAGCTGACAACTACGGGGGTCAAATTGTTTCTAAGATACAGTTTTGAAAAAATCTTGACTGAAAGCGCAATGAACGCAATGTGACATGTGGACTTGATTTTCAGAATGCTGCATATAATCAAAAGGTTGATTTGCAACCTTGTGAACATAGCGAAACCCTCTTTCTTCTAACTTCTAGTTCATAAAAATCCCCAGTCAATGCTCGTCATATAAACAAGGCAAGCAACATTAAACACCAGGAACCCCACAAAACAATAAAACAAATAAAGTCTAAACGCAAGTGCACCGATTTCAATTGGCCGGCGAAACAGTTTCAGTCAAGATTTTTTCAAAACTGTATCTTAGAAACAATTTGACCCCCGTAGTTGTCAGCTGAACGAGCGAGCCCTATATTCTTGCTAAAGGCTCCCACGTTACTCGGCTCGATAGTCGCACCAAAACTTGGTACGAGCAAAATAAAACGAAACTTAAACAGCTAAACTTATATTTTGTATGAGTTTTAAAGGCATAATCGGTCATACAAGAGGCAAAATTTATGCAAAAGTGTACAGAGGTCCGCGCTACTCTGAGAATTCTCTATGTCTGACCCGGGGGTGAAGGCCCCGCGCGTGTCTCCCACAACCGAGGTGTAGTTCTTGGGGAAGATAATTTTTGAACAAGCAAAAAACGCAATGTGACATGTGGACTTGATTTTCAGAATGCTGCATATAATCAAAAGGTTGATTTGCAACCTTGAGAACATAGCGAAACCCTCTTTCTTCTAACTTCTAGTTCATAAAAATCCCCAGTCAATGCTCGTCATATAAACAAGGCAAGCAACATTAAACACCAGGAACCCCACAAAACAATAAAACAAATAAAGTTTAAACGCAAGTGCACCGATTTCAATTGGCCGGCGAAACAGTTTCAGTCAAGATTTTTTCAAAACTGTATCTTAGAAACAATTTGACCCCCGTAGTTGTCAGCTGAACGAGCGAGCCCTATATTCTTGCTAAAGGCTCCCACGTTACTCGGCTCGATAGTCGCACCAAAACTTGGTACGAGCAAAATAAAACGAAACTTAAACAACTAAACTTATATTTTGTATGAGTTTTAAAGGTATAATATTTTAAAGGTGAGCTACGCGAATGTCTTTCAAGTACGGCTGTTACAACATGGCCGCTTGCTGAAAGTGTATGGCTGAATGTCTACTGGCCGAGAAGCCGCTGTGACTTGAAATAACTTCTATCTATCATCGCGACGATAACGAACCGAAACGGCTTTGGCGGCACTTAAGAACATAATCTTGATTGACAATCCCTATACTGGGGCTGGACCGTATACTGGGGCGCCTTATACTGGGGGAAACGTTACCAATATGGTTGGC